AAAGAAGCTTTTTCAACTATACAGATTACGAAGAATTGAACTGAATCGGTTAGTAGAAGGACCCATATCTATGATTTCAAATTTTCCAGGAGACAACTGCCCTTCCCCCAAACTACACTACGTTTCTTCAAATGCATTTCTGTGGCATCAAAATAACGGTAAATGAATGTTCCTGCACCTTTTTAAGCTTAATCAGTAGTACTACCGAAAGTGGCATTACTGCAAAAGAAGCAACTGGGCTCATTCTCTCTTGAACTGTACTATAGGCCCCTAAATAATATGTAAACAACATTATTGGAAGTATTATAAAATTCCTTACCTCACTCTCATATTAGAAAGCACTTAGCTCTCAAACTACTACGGAGTAATTCAATTTTGAACGTAAAGTAAACCATATGATGGAAGGTGCACAAGGGAAGGTTTTCCAATAATCATTGTAAGCAGATGCTTTTCTTCATTTCTGTCAGCAGTGTGTATGGAACGAGAATCATTCGAAGCTATGGTTAAACGTATCGGCCTATGAATATATGAAGTTAATCACACGTTCATTAATTAAGGTACTTAAGACCAAGTTCGACCTCACTGCTTATATCTGACCGTGTAGAAAACAAATGGATTCGAAACCGAATTTGCAAGACTTTTAAAATCTAACTAAATAAACGGAAGTAACTAACTTCTTGAGAGAAGATAATATTTTCTCAGCTAGTAAGCCTCACTCTCTATAGAACCAATGCTACATTACCGCGTTTCAAATCCCAAATCATTGGACTTTCACCCCGAACACAAGCTGATTCGCTATTGACATACGCGTATTAATCGTTACAACTGCAAAGCCTTACATGTCTGTCAACACATCGAACAAAAAGCCTAATTTATAACGAAAGTGTACTTAAAAACTACCTAACTAGTTCCTGGCAGCCCTATTAGCATTTCATACACGTCACATGCACTGGTTATACCACCAGGACTCGACTTGTGTCAACGTGGTATGCCTCATGAAGATGAGACTGACACGAGATGCTCTTCTGGGTTCTGGCGCCGTGGAACTGGTCGGTAGAAGCCAACGTTTCGGAGAAACACACTATCTTCAGGGATGAATTCACGATTCTGGGAAGTGGAGGGATTTAAAAGCGTTGGAGAAAGGGGAGGCAGGAAGTACCTCTGAAACGTCGGTAAAACTCTACCATACTACACGGCGTACAACGCAGAAGACAGCCATCTTCTGTTCACCCTTGTTCTTTTCGTTCTAAAATAAATTTTACTAAAACAACCGAATGAAACACTTTATTTTTATGAAAGAATTATATTACGTTCTAAAAGCCACGACAGAAAGCGGGAAGTACTAGAAGTATCAAAGACTGACTGACACGCTGATTGGTTTAATTCCCACCGCGCTACAACGCAACTAACAGCCTCCCGCAGTCAGTCTGAATCCTAGAATAGCAGCGCAGGAAACTAACAATTCCATTACAAGCGGCAGTTTCTATTTACTTAATCCTGTTTCTTGCTACTTGCGATGTGTCAACATTGCCCTCGTCCGTTCTGTTTACCGGAATGAGAAGATTTTAGCCGCAGGGAATGGCTTGTACGGTGTAATTAATTGGGAGTCTTGGCGCCCATTAGAAGAAGGTTGGTTCCGGAATATCCAGTTCAGGAAGAGCAAATGCATGTATTTAAATGCAGCCTTTTTCTACAAACATTTGCTCCACTGTAGTCTGAGTTCGTTGACCCGTCATTTGGTTGTTAAAATCGATTGTTTTCGTAACTACACGGCACAGCAACTGAAGCTTGGGGTGATTCCCCAGTCCGCATTCTGCAGTACATTCTACAAAGGCAGCACCAGACATTAATGAAAAGAACTTAGAGAAACATCAATAAAGACCATAAAATATTTAACAGGACTCAATTTTCTGCATCAATAATGACAGGTAGGAAACATCCATAAGTCACAACAATTAATGGGCACAGTGGGACAAGTAAGGTTGCCATCTGATGATGAGCGGAGCCTGGACCTCACGACCCAGGTCCCATTAGCAACGTTGCACTTTACCACAAGATTCAAATCTCCCCTGAATTATATCACCTTCCACCCTTTTCTTCTCTGATATACACCGTACATAAATACACAAGACATAAAAATTAAAAATCGCCAGTCTTTCAAGTAGTGGTAATATAAAGTTGTCCCGGGCTGTAAAGCATCACGGCGACCAGATTAAGTATTGGAGGCAAAGCTCTACGAATTTTTAAACCGGGCACTATTAACAAATGGGTGTTAGTGATATACGAGCAGGGTTGGCAAAGGAAGGAGTGGATGGGAGAAGAGGGTACCTCTGCCAGGCCTAGGGAGGAATGAGAACTAGAGACATGTAATTGGGCATGAAATACAATACGCAGAACGAGGACAGGAAATGAGAGGCAATATAAGTGTAATTAAATAAAAGAGAAGGCAAAAACTGAGTGAGTACAAGTAAAATATACTAAATAAATAACTGAATACCTGGTAAATGAAAATAAAATGCTCGATATGTAAAGAAGGGATAAATAGTCCTTATTACAGCTAACAGAAGACTAACAGTGAAGATTTCATTAATTTTTTTTTGTGTGACGCTGAGCAAGACACTCCAATTAAGACGTCGTGTCACACATCACAACCAAGTCTATTTTATGAGAGCGAGTGTCAGTCCCTTGGAAGACGATGCACGTGAGACTTCTGCGTGCAGCAAAACTTACTTTCAGGGATAGAGGAAAAGTTAAGATGTAAGAAACGGTCTTAGGTTGTTAAAGTGACAGACGATACCATGGATATGGAGAATTCGTGTTCTTCGGACGATAAGGGCCACGCTGCCAACTACACTTAACATTTATGGACCAAA